CCTCGAGCTCCGGTACCTCAGCACCCTGCATCCTTTGGACCTGGCACCTCGGTACCCTGCACCCCTGGGATCCGGCACCTCCGTACCCTGCATCCCCGGGACCTGGTATCTCCTTACCCTGCACCCCAGGAACCCAGCACTTTGTACCCTGCATCCTCGAGATCCGGTACCTCAGCACCCTGCATCCCTGGACCTGGCACCTCAGCACCCTGCATCCCCGGGACCCGGCACCTCCGTACCCTGCATCCTCGGGACCTGGCACCTCCGCACCCTGCATCCCCGGGACCCGGCACCTCGGTACCCTGCACCCCTGGGATCCAGCACCTCTGCACCCCCAGGACCCGGTACCTCAGCACCCTGCATCCTCGGGACCCAGCACCCTTGGAATTCTGCACACTGGTACCCCCTGCGCCTCTGGCACCCTACACCCATGGGACCCTGCTGCTCTCAGCACCCTGCACACTGGCACCCTGCATCTCTGAGGCCCTGCATCTCCGGCATCTGCACCTCCAGTACCCTGCACCTTCAGCCCCCTCTGCTCCAGCACCCTGCACCTTGGCATGCTGCACCCCAATCGGTCTACACCGTGCACCCCCAGCATCCTGCATCCCCGGCAGGCTGCAATCCCAGCAGTCCTGCAGCCCAGACACTCTACAGACTGGAGAGAGAGAAAGAGAGAAAGAGAGAGAGAAAGAGAGAAAGAGAGAAAGAGAGAAAGAGAAAAAGAGAGAAAGAGAGAAAGAGAGAAAGAGAGAAAGAAAAGAAAGATTCCAGCCCAGGGAATGTCCCTACACCAGCTCACCAGTTTGGCCAGTTTGGGGCTTCCCACCCAAAACGCCTGTGGCACTGAAGCTGTTAGGAAAGATTACCTCCTGATAGTACATACTGTACTCACTTTCTTACAGAGAAACTCTGTGGGTCAGGTTTTCACAGAAAACACGCCGCTCTTAAAAGAAATGGGGGAGTCTATCTCAAAACTGGCAAAAGAAAAAGTAAACGAGCAAAAAAGCCTCCTCGCAGGTGCTGTTCCCCATCCTCCACCACCCTTATTTCTCTTGTCTCCAGCAAAAGAAGGATCTCACCCCAGCCCTAATGGACTTCAAATTGTCAGCCTCTTTTCACCTAGTTTGAGCCATAGAGGCCCACACTCCAGCTTTTCTGCCTCTAGAGAAGCTGAGCCCAGGGCATCTGACATGCATGTTCCAGGAGATATGAGCTAGATGGGGAACCTGTAGCTGCGTTGGTGCCGTACTCAGCCTGGGGAGGAGGGAGGCCACCGTGTCATCTCCATGCAAGGAGTATGGGCTCAGGCAGAGCATCTGGGGTGAGGGCCAACACAGCTTCAGGCCATCTCCAGAGAAGAGTGGAGCGCTCTATTAGCAGCAGGAATTTTGGAGTACACTACACAAATACAACTGTGACAGCCCACAGGTCTCCTTATCACCAGCAAGATGCATTTGCCACCAAAGTCATTTTGCATCACACGGCCGGTATTTTGTTGTTGTTGTTTTTGTTTTCTCCCATCCTAAGCAACCTCTATCAGTGAGGAATTGTCACATGGACTATTCACAAGAGACTTCCCAGCTTGGGAAACCTCTGGTCAAAATGACAGTCACGTAGAGGAAGGACTTCTCCTGAACTCTGAGAGAGACCCAACCTGTTGGAGACAACGTGCACAGGAGTCTGCATCCCTGGTGCTGCAGYTTCTTGCCCTGTTAGCCAAGCTCAATCTCCAGCCAAGCACACACCTTGCAAAAGAAAAAGCCGTCTGGGTCTTTGTCAGTTCTTTATGGGAGAAGAATGAGGAATGGGTGCAATTTTGGCCCTAATGAACCCCCCAGGTCACTGCTCTCAGCAGGCGTGTGCAAGGCATCCCCCAACTCCATTTATGGAATATCCCACATGGCAATTATTTATGCTAGAATCTTGTCTCTTTCCACTTCCTTTTGCCCCAAAAGAATGGGAGAGGTGGAGAAAGATGGAAAATAACAATACTAGCATTGCTTTGTTCTGATCTCAGCCAGAACTCAAGCACGTAAAACCTGTCCTCTTGCAACCCGAGACTAGGTTGCAATTGGAAACATGCTGCTTGCAAAATTGCAGGAATATCCTCTACTCTGAGGCTTTCGTGCAGGTGTTGGCTGGAGATGGAGAGGAAAGCAAGCCACACAGTGCAGGCAGCCGATGATGCGTCCTTAGTATTAAATCACTGCAGCATCTCTTGAACAAAAAGAGCCTCATGCTCAGAACAAGCCCTGAGCACAGTGCCAGGCTTTCACTAGAGACCACAAACAAGCAGAAGGGCGGCTCTGTTTATTTGCAGCACATCTGAAGCAGCTCCCAGTCTAAGGGGACAGACATTTTCACGTGGCTAAAGGGGAAAAGGTGCTTGCAGCCTCAGTTCCTCCACATCGCTTGCTCTTCCAGCAGAGGATTAGATACTGCATGTTTTGCAAGTGAGAGCTTCTTTCAGTCCGTGAAATCAGTCTCCTGCTTGCAGCAATGGGCACCTTTGCTGTGGACCATCCGTGCCAGGGCAAGGTGGTGCCGTCAGGCTGAGGGAGGTGGTCTCCCTTTTGCAGGACTTTGAGGCAGCAGGATGGAGAGGTTTGCTCTGCCGTGCTCATCCAGGAGCATGAGTGCTTCCATGTGGCCTGGTAGGATGAGGAGCTCATTCGGCGGTGGTTTCTYCAATGCTAGCACAGGAGATGTCGGCGCGGGACAGGGAGCCTCCAGCCCAGCGAGAGCTCTGCATTACTGGTCGCCCACCTCTGGCAGCTGAGACACGAACAGAGCAAGCGTGTGATGGAGAAACTGGTACTGCTCGCTTGTCTGGATCATCCCACCTCTGCAAAGGGAAAAGCAAGGTCCTGCTGAGGCCTAACTAAAACAGAAACCCCASCTTAGCCCACAGTTTGCTCATCGCTTGGGTTTTGTGTGCACAAATATTCCTGCTTCTGGATTCCTCTGATACAGGTCCAGTGCTCCGTAAGTCCCCAAAGATTATTTGGGTTTAGAAGTGTTGCTGGCTTGCTCAAAATGCAGATAAGCATTTTACTCTAATTTTACTGGCGCTTCTCTTAAAAAAAAAAAAAAAAAAAGGAAATTTTGGGCATCTCTGAGTTCGGAGGGCAGCAGTGCCTGCAGGAGGTGGGAGGCTATGAGGTTTGGTAGCCCAACTGGAAGAAGTAGACAAGCTGGCAGGTTCATAGCCAGCTCCCTCACCCTTCCCACATCTCTTCTTCCAAGTTTTGCACCCAAGGTGACCATCCAAGGAGCAGACCTGACATTGCCTTGAGTACCCACCTATCTATACGGAGACGGCACACAATTCCCAGGATATCCACCTCTCCCGTGTCCTTCAACTGCTGGCAGCCAATCCTCGTAGCAATAAAGCAACCTGTCCGTCCAATTCCTGCACTGTGGGACAARAGCCAGGTCAGACACAGGTAACCCAAGTGCTGCAAGAAAATTCACTGCCCAACCCCTGCTCCAAGCTGGTCCGCTGATTAGCTGCAATGATTTTTGCCATAATTAACTGTCATTGTTTCTTCTTAAAGAGATGGTGGGGTCGTGTGCCAAGCTGTGAGATCTTTCTTAGCCAAGCACTAAGAAACTTGATTGGCCCCGTTTTGCCTCACCAAGGAGGTCAKGGCACATTGAAGAGCTCATCTGAGCCATGCTCTGGAAGTACAGCGGGGACAATTCGCAAGTGCATGTGAGATTTTCCCAGTTGACATTTTCAGGATGACCCAAAAATTGTGCAAGACATAAGGACATGCAGGAGCTAAAGCAAGGGGAAAGCTCTTACCTGCAGTGCACGATGATGGGCCCCTTGGTGGTTGCAGCCTTCAGGGTCTCCTCTACTTTGGACACTAAGTGCAGCAGGGGTTTGGCTGACTCAGGCGTCTGCTGGTCCGGCCAGGAAGGGAAGAAGATGTGTTTGACTTGGCGGCATTCACCTTGGAGCTTCTCCAGGACAGGAGAGAGAGAAATCAGCATGCAGGAGCATTGATACACAGGACTGGGCCAGCAAAGGTGTGGAGTCCTGCTCAGTTATGGGGTGCATAGCTTGCACCCAACTTATCCTCTTTCTCATTCCTGCCAGAGACCCAAGAGAGAGTCAAGGGCCAGGGATACTCCTGGGTCATTTCAGAGCACCTTGCTGGGTTGAGGTCCAGCCATGCCCCACACACCCTCCTTGGACTCCATGTGGAGCTGCAGGTCTTCCCTGACTGTGTCTCTGCTCAAAAAAGCAGGACAGAATGGAACATGTTCCAGCATCAGTTCAGGCAGTCAGCAACAACCATATTGGCTGGTGTCAGCCCATGGTGACTAAGAGAGCTGGTGGGCCAAAGCCACAGACTACACTGGAAGCTCTCGCTACTCTGACCATCTCCACTGTTTCACTAGAGCATTGGGATCTTCATGCATCCTGCTGTCCTTCAGCGTCTGCCAGGCAGAAAGGAGCCCTTCCTCTGGCAGGTAGAACATGAGACACAGTTCTTCAAGACATAGACCCTCCACAGTCCTTGCACATAGCGTTGCCACCCTGCTACAGAGCCCAAGCACTGCCAGGTTCTGTTGGACATCCCATCTTGCCCCATCAAGTGCTTGAACCCACCTGGATGGAGAGGTCC